CTTTTTGTTCCCTTCAGAAAAATAGTTGTTCTTATTGATTGGTAGAACATCAGTATTATCAGTAAACAATGACACAAGCAACAGAAAATGTGATCAAATCCTCAGTCTCTCAACATTTGATTTAGTTGTGTCTTTTCTATATTAAAACATGCTAATGGTCTGTTTCAGTCAAGTCAGTTTAGTTCTGACCGTTTTTCAGACTCATAAACAACTTAGTCAGTTTTCAAAGCTATTCACTATTATGACAGCAGAATTACAGAACACACATGCGCGCGCGCACGCACACACACACACACACGCACACACACACACACACACACACACACACACAATGTGTGTACATCTGGACAACAGATCAATGGGAAACAACCAGTATAATTCTGCACATTGGATGTGGCTACTACACTTTGTGGTTTAGCTGTGCTTTATAGATTTATTACACAAAGTGATTCTCCAGAGTACTTTACCTTCAGCAAGTTGCTGGTCGGTGCTGTTGAAATAAACCGTCAATTAAAAGGAAACAAATGTCAGTATTGATTAGGAGTAAGTGGTTTTATTTTACAGATGTAGCTCGTAGAAATAGTCAAGAGTCCTTCATAGAACTCAACACTGTGCAACATCTTTGCTAAGTTGGCCTGAACTGTTGACACTGTTGGTCTGTTAGCAAAATATCTCATGAACCATTAGATAAATCTTAATGAACTTCTGAACAAGTAATCACTATTGATCCACAGCTTGTTATTTAACGTGAATCCGATTTAAGATAGCCACCATGACAAATTTACTTTTGCCAACACCAAAATAGTTTAATAATCTGTGAGTTTTACAGATAACAAGCTAAAATCAGTGTGGTGGCTGCTGAGAATCATCCTGAGCACACTTTATAAACATTCTCCAGAACATAGTATTATTTTATTCTTTATTTCTTTATTTTTTTCTGTACAGTTTCAGTTCTCTGCTTCACACCCTGGCTGACTGTTCCATTAAAGTGTAGCACCTGGGCAAAAATGTAAATATTAACATCTACAGTTGATTGCATAATCCATTTTCCACCTACCAAGTCATGCTAGCTTAGTGTGTGTGTGTGTGTGTGTGTGTGTGTGGGGGGTACTTCACAGCTCTGTTCACACAGAAGGATTGTTAGGGATGTTAGAACTTCCTGATATCTGGATCCTATTGTGTTAATTTGCAGAATAAATGCACCTCCCATCAACTCTGCATTGTGTATTTTCTTGACTATCAAGGATAATTAGAAACCTGCTTTAAAAAAACTATTTGGATGGCACTTTTGGTTAGTATTTACTCTTTTATTGTTCCTCTGTATGGTATTCTGTGGTTCGTGAAACCCAAATTAACCCTTCAAGAATGAAGCCAAAGAAAAAATAAAATCTATTAATTAGGGATGCAACAATATCAATATCTGATATTATTATTGGTGTTATGGTTGAAAACTGATATTTACCAGTATTACACTAACACACRATACTTAACATATTTTTTATTTTGTACCAAAGCTTTAAAGGATATTGGAGCTCTGCCGTTGTGTTACCTTTCATTTTAATAATGCACTGAAAGATTTCTACAAAAACCTTAGAAATTCTAAATAAAATATACARTAACATTTATTAGTTGCAGTTACAGCTGTCTGACAGGAACTTCATTATGTGTACTTCTACCCCTGCTTATCTGAAGAAGTGCTTCACGTTCTGAAGGCAAAGCTGCACACGAAAACTACAAACCAATTTAAACTGTAATTTTTATGCATCTTTATACAGAATCTGTATAAAGTGTTCAAAAGCCTTTTTGCATTAGCCTGGTAACTATCATGTGTTTTTGTGGCCTGATAGATCGTGTTCCCGTTGTCTGTCTTGTCGTCCCCCCCGGATAATAGAAGTAATCACTTTAACAGCACTCTTATTTCTCTTCCCCTGTAGCCTCTCTGTCTGTGGCTGGACCAGTGTTTATATCCCAGGGCTCTGTGGCTAGCTGCTGTTGTGTTTTGTGGTGTCGTACAGTCTTTCTTACAAACCCATCCAAAGCCTCATTTCCACACCCGGACATCTGTTGTCCACATAGTACCCTGGAGCTTGATGGCACCTCACTCTGGTCAGTGTTTACCAGCTATTGTATCTGCGGAACCAAAGTGCCGGGACTGTTCTGGCGCCTGAGGTTCTGAAGCGAGTCAGCTCCCAAATACTAGGCCCAATTATCCATGGCCAGACCACACTTATTTAAGTCTTGGTATTTTAATTCAGTTTGACATAATGCCACACTGGACATCACTATCAGACATTTCAATCCATATTTCTCTTAAACACATAGCAGATCCCGTCTGTCTACACCGCACCTCCATGGATTTGATTAAAGTGTGTTTTTGTCAGCTCAGTAATGGCCTTTTTCAATACTCTCTCTCTCTCTCTCTATTTTTCTGTTGCTTCTCACAACATGCAGTAGCTTCCAAAATGTGGTTTTTCTGGCAGATTGTTATAATAATATTTGGTAGTTTTTTTGGCGGGAATTGTAGAATTGATAAGGATTAAGTTTCCATATGTGTATTTTAAGAGATTTTAGTCTCTTTCATTATAAGTAAATTGTGTTTGTTGTAACATTAGATTACCCGCTTGTGGATTTGGTTGATTTTCAAATGGTCAAAATTCTACCAAACACTATGTTTTCTCACTTTCTCTGTAATGTATGCATTGAACTGATAATATAACTACTAGGGATGCACGATATATCAGCATTCATATCAGTATCGGTCGATATCTGTCATTTTTTTAGGATATCAGTATTGCCCCGATATGTAAAACTGGGCCGATATTAACATCCGATGTTGATTTCCCACTTTTTATCTTTGTGTTTCTGTTTTGGGAGGGGAGATGGTTGGTTGAACGGCATCTGTTTGATCATGATGGTGATATTGACGGTGCAGCCAGGAATAAATGAAGTGGAGCCAAGCCAGAGGTCTGGTTGTTTATTTATGGCATCAAAAAAAGACCCAAGTGTGTTTGTGCGTATATGTATAATATAATTTGTGTGTTTGTGTAATATCGATAAATATCGGTTATCGGCCATAATAGCAATAATTATATCGGATATCGATATCGGCTGAAATTTTCATATTGGTGCATCCCTAATAACTATGTATTTTTTGGTTTTAATTTCCTCTGAATGTTGTCGTTTTATCCATCCATCCATTTCTTTAACGTGGTAAGGCAACAAGCACAGGAGAGAAAACTAGACGCTCCACTCTCTAACAACATTTTCCAGCCCTTCCTGGAGGGTTCCAAGGTGTTTCCAGGCTAGTGAGGTTATATAATCCTTTAGCAAGTGCTGGATCWGACCAGGGTGAGAAGTGCTCAGAAACACCACAAGGAGATGTGCCCTGTCACATTACCCCTACAATTCAGGAGAAATTAAATCTTCAAAATGATTTATTATCATTGCCAAATCCTTTTCAACACATGAGACTCAAAAAATGCAGCATCATAACCATTTTTTTTCTTGCAACATAGCTTTTCAATCAAAACGGAATCAAAGCAGTACAAGGCYATCCAAACTGAAAGTTAATTTTTCGGTGAAAAACTCAGTAAAYAATTCACCTCCATCACTGGCTGTTCTGTAAGCCTGAATGAAAGACATTTAACCTCCGACTGCTCCAGCTGTGTTCTTCAATAGCCAGCATTGTGGACATTTTTTGCTCTGAAGCTATGTGCTGGAAAGAGTTTGAATCTCGGCTTGTGCCCTTTGTGTAAAAGTTCACAATTCCTTCTGTCTGGAAAGACAAATTGTTCACAAACTAGTCCTCGCTTGTTGATGCTTGTGTGTGGTTCTGTGTCTGGTCCTAAAATGCTTCTGTACATCCGATTCCCCTTTCCCATCCGGCAATATCTGTTCAGCCAAGTGCCACAGGAGAACAGGGCTATGGGCTGATTGCACATAATTAGCTCATGATGTTTGTTGGGGAATAGGTCTGTGCGTGTGTGTGTTCACGCTTAAAGCGTGCGTGCGTGTTCGTGACAAGCACCGTTCATCAGTCACCATATTTGTTTTGTCACACCACACCTGTCCCCGTTACGCACCATAATCTGGCTAGATAAATCACATTATGGTTTGTCGACGCAACTGAGCGCCGCGCCGCCGCAGCCTCATCGATGAAGCCAAGCCGCTGTAATAAGTTTCAATCAGGCTGAGATGATGGCACTTTGGTTCASTGTACCGGTGTGGCACCTTTTTTCTGCTTTTTCTTGATTTTATTTTTGGTGGGAGTTTTTTTTTTTTCAAAGCTAAGAGGGTGATTTTTCTTCATTAAAACTTAAATCAACAGATAAGAGCAATTCTACAAAGAGAGTGTGGATTTGGATCCGTGGGCTTCTGGCTCAGTGAGTTTTAATGCCAATTTGAAAGTTGGTGCAACAGTGTCATGTTTAAAGACAGTTTTCAGATGTAAAATTGGTCAAAAGGGAATGGCGTGTAAAATGTTTTATTCATTTCTTTAACCTTAACTCGAGCCTGTGTTCTTCTTTATGCAAATGCTGTATCTGGTAGGCCTGAACTGTTGAATCCAATAAATTCCACCTTTTTTTAAATATTTGTCTACGATTTTTTTCTAGTTGTTTCCTGAGACGGGGCCTCGTCAAGGAGGAACCAGGGTGACCATCTTGGGGGAAAACTTGGGCCTGCAGTTTAGAGACATCCAGATGAGCGTCAGGTTGGGGAAGGTCCCCTGTGTGCCTATTGAGGAGGAGTATGTTAGCGCAGAGAGGTAAGTCAWCAAACCACAGATACACACTTTGAAATGATCAAAAGAATGCACAACCATTTAAAAAAAGACCCCGATCTGCACATGGCCTCTCCTTGACCAATCAAACTCCAGAAACAACCTGAATATATAGCGGGTAAAATAAGTATTGAACACGTCACCATTTTTCTCAGTAAATATATTACTAGAGGTGCTAATGACATGAAATTTTTACCAGATGTCGGTAACAACCCAAGTGATCCATACATAAAAGAATTCAAAAAATGTCCTGAAATGAAGTTATTTGTAATAATGTGGAATGG